TATTATTGTTATTATTATTATTATTATTATTATTATTATTGTTATATTTATTATTATTATTATTGCAATATTACTTTAAAAATAAAAATAGTTTTGAAAGAGCGGGCTCACTAGCCAGTGCATGATAATCGTTGGTTATATTTCACTGACAGTCGCAGCTTCATGTTACATTACACCCTTGCTCGTCAGCCCATTTATCTCCATCTTAAGAAAAAAATGTTTGGGAAGTTCCCCCAAACAAGAACAAGAAAGCTAGTTTAGTAATCGGTAAAGAACAAAAGTAAATTATTTGTTATGAAAAAGAGTTGGTATCGGAAGCAAGTCAACCTCACAATAAAGGTTCAAAAAGGTCCTCCGTTTGCTAACAAATATGCACTAACTCGCTTGAGAACATTTGCTGCACCCGAAGTTAAGTTTTTCAACAATCATGAAGGTTAGGAGGCTCGCTCCCAAAAACTTTACTTTTGAGACATCACTAAAGATAAAAATCTGGTGGTAACAAATCAGGCGAAAGAGGCCACGAACCTCGTGAAATTGTTCCCAAAACATTCATCCAGAAAATGTATTGTCGACGTAGCTGTATTTGATGTCGAGTATATTCCGATACCTATCCGCCATTACTGTTTCTTTGAAAACCCACAGGCCAATTATTCTGCGACGAGAAATTGCACTCAATACTCCATTTTTTAGAGCAACGGTGTCTCTCTAGTGTTCTCTCGACACCCCAGAGTCTACTGTTTTGTTTTGTTAGTTAACAAATCCATCCAGAAGACAAGCCTTCTCACTATAAAAACACTTTGTCAAGTCCCTGAAGACCTTAGCTAACAAATCGTTGTAGCCAATTACAGTAAATCATGCGAGCAGCCCGATCACGAACCATAAGCTCCTAAGAAGTCCGCTGATTGAATGAGTGCATTTGCATTTTTTTGAAGCAGAGTGCGTCCTTCCATACGAAAGATAACATTGCTTAACGGCACTTCCTGAATGATTTTCTCGGGGAAGATGACAGAACACCCCGAATGTTCTGTAGTTTTCGCTGCGAGAGCACTGTATTTTGGCAACTGCATTTCCGATCAAACAAGCTCCCTGTGTCGTGATAGCACTACGCTAGTCGATATATGTTTGAAGTAGATTCAGAAGAGAAATGTTCTCTCAAAGTTGTCTGGCAGTTTTTGACAGATTGCGTTCGGAAATACTCCTCCACCACAAATCAGCGTTGCTTACGCTGAGGCGCTTCGTAACTTAACTTCAAAACTGGTAATGAAGACACAGCCTGTTTTGTTTTGAGCAGACATGACGCAGACCACAGGAAAGAATGGGGCGGAGTGAAAAGAAGGGAGTGTCACAGAAATGCAGTCAAAAAAGCTGTCCCAAAAGCAGGTCCCAATGCTTTTACGTTTCTCTCAGATCCTCGAACTACAGATTTGCATTTGAAACTAAGCACCCGGTATTACAGATAGTGAATCCTATCCATAGTGTAACACAACCGGCGTCACCCCTGCCAACACAGCCTTCCGCACGTGCATACTTGTGTGTGTGTGTGTGTGCGTGTCGACGTGCGCGCGCTCTGTTAACCTGCGCATGTACTGCGCGCTGTCCGAGATGTCAGTGGCGTCGGGGAAGAACGGGTAGCTGCAGTTGAGGTCGTCGACGGAGCACCGGCTGGCGGCAGTCATGTTGTCCTCCAGGTCGTCGCTGCTCGAGCTGCTGTCGCCCGAGCTGGGCGGCGAGTCGAAGTCCGGGTCGCCGCACGAGTCCAGCGAGAGCACCAGGCGCGAGCTGTGCGAGTGCACCGGCACCAGGTTGGTAGCACTGCCCGGCCCGCGCGAGAACGACCCGCGGTCCACCAGCGAGCCCGACGACGGCGTCTTGCACACCAGCCCGCCCACGTCCATGCCTGCGCAGTGCGGTCCTGCGGAGGTGGTGCACTGCGTGGAGCTCTTCTCTCGTTATTAATATTACAAACTTGTACGGTATGTAGGGTAGGGTGGACATTTTGATCGTTATATTAAGAAAGGGAAAGATCCTCAATAGGCTACAAATGTTTCTTATCAAATTTCATGTCAATATTGTCCTGCCATCGGTTTTTATTTTGACACTCAATGGCATCGCAACTGCACCCATTTTCTTCTACTATAGTCTTACTAAACTGATTAATACGTAATTTACTTGAATTTTTTACGACGTACCACTTCGTAATTTTCCCGGGTCACACGTTATAAATATGACAAACTTGTACGGTATGTAGGGTAGGGTGGAAATTTTGAATTTAATTTTCCGCCATATAGTAGCTCTGCTAGATAGGTCGCGATTAGAGTCCTTGAAAACCAGACGCATCTAGTAAACATAACCTTAAAATACCCGAAATGCTACAATCGAAGAGCCGCGATTATAGAAAGCCTTCGCGCTGGGCGTTCGGCGACCGAGGTCTTTCGATTTTTTGGGTAGCCGAGGTCGACTGATTACGATGTGGTGACAGAACGATTTTAACAGAACTGTGGACAGGCTCACACGAGCCATATAGTCCAAAAAAGAATTTCAGACAATCCTGGACAGGTTCTGGTGCAAAGAATTTTGGCCCCCGAATAGACCGGATTAAATCCCACTGACTACAATGTTTGGAGCGGTGTTGAACGGGTTATCAACAAGTTGCGGCACCCCAATGTCTCGTCTTGATGCGCCGCCATCGAAGCAGCATTCGCCAAAAGGGACAGCGCTGCATTACAGAGAGCATGCGGGCGCTTCAGGGCAAGGATAGAGGTGGTAATTAAGGTCAACGGCGGTTATATGGAGTAAATGTAGTCCTAACGGGTTAAACGAATATTGATTAAAAACATTTTCTTTTACATTTGTACTTTGCGTCAATAAATTTCATTTTAGAACAAAGTTATTTTGTCTGGATTAAACTGTAGAGTTTGAGTACGCACTGGTCCGGCCGCGCTGGGCACTGCGGCGCCGGCGCAAGGGGCCCTGCGGATAGTTCGAGGGCCCCGTCAGGCCGGACACCAGCGACGTCGTGGAGTAGCTCGACAGCATGGACAGCAGCGACGCTCCGCGCTGCCGGCTGTGCCGCCGGGGTGGCTGGACGATAGTTGACAACGCTTTGTGATACAGCGCGGACAGCTTAGCAGTCGCCGAAAAAAACTAGGAGCGTCGCATGGAGAGCCGAGGGGTCAGCAATACGCGAAGCGCTGCTCAGACCGGACCCTGCATTGCGAGCGATTTCTGCTCGGCATAGAGACGATATTCTAAGACGTGCAATTCATTATTGGCACTTCCTGAACATATTTTTGTTAAAGCAAATCACTAAAACTTGCAGCGATTTTCTCTCGCATAGAACACGAGGGCTCTCCCTTCAAGGTGTTTCATGACATCACACTTGGTCTTGTAAGTAATACCAAAGATAGAAAGTTACAAGGAATAAGATTAGATAATCTGAGAGGATATACTCAACTATTCGATCGTCAGTACTTAAATAATTTTGGGAAGCAGAACTAGATCGACCGAAAAATCTTTAATTATGGGATATTTTCTACTCCAAAGAATATTTTATCACGCGATATACTGCGTGTTAATGCAAGGTTCCTGGTCCTCGGCCGGCCGGCGAGAACTCGCTTCGCCCAGGCCGTTACTACCTGACATTCGGCGAAAGATTAATTGTCAATTCTTTATAATAAACAATATGATCAATCAAGCGGTTCGCCGTCTCATCATTCGGCTTGTCTCACAAAAAGCGAGATAGAAAAAAATAGATTAGAAAGAGAGAAAAGGCATGGAAAATGGGTTTCTTCCACAGAACAAAAGTAAAAAAGATTACCTACATCATTGGGTTCCTCGTCCTCCGAGCCCGTATCTTCGTACTCCTCGTCTCCGTAGAGCATTTTTTTGAACGCAAAACCATATCAAAGACGAACAGTCTCTTACCTTGAGTTCTTCGTCCTCCGAGCCCGTGTCTTCGTATTCCTCGTCACTTTGGAGAATGCTCTTTGAGCAAGCAACACTGTCAACAAGACGCGCACGTCTTACCTTGGGTTCCTCGTCCTCCGACGCCGTGTCTTCGTACTCCTCGTCGTTTTGGACCATGCTCTTTGGATAGGCAACAGTGCCAACCACCTACAGCCTCTTACTTTGGGTTCCTCGTCCTCCGAGGCCGTGTCTTCGTACTCCTCATCGCTGTGGATCATTCTCTTTAAACAGGCAACCGTTTCAATAATGTACACCCTCTCACCTTGGGCTCCTCGTCCTCCGAGGCCGTGTCTTCGTACTCCTCGTCGCTGTAGAGCGTGGCGCACCGGACGATGGCTCGCAGGCGCGCGTTGCGGCGAGCGCCGCGCGGCACCTGCGGAGTGCGGCCCGGCGGCGCCGAGAGCGTCTGTTCGTCGTCAAACAGCGGCTTGCTGACGTGCAGGTAGTGGTGCGTGGTGAGGATGGAAGTGTCCGCCAGCGCCGTCACGTTCAAGGAGCACGTGGCGCCCCGCGGTGGGTCTCCGCTGGAGAAGACGATGCGAGCCCGCATGCCCAGGGAGCTCGACGACTTGAACACCACCGTGATGGGCACGTGCGTGTTGTTGGAGCTGCTGCGCACGCGCTTCCCCTCGACATGCACCTGCGCGCACATCGTAAGGTGCATCGTCAGATCACGTTCATCGTAATATGGTTTCGTTGATTGGATAGAGGCTCTGCGCGAGAAGTGCGAAGATCATTAGTTCCGTCAGGATTGCGCATGCTTTCATGGCGAGAGCTTGACGATGTTCTTTCCCATAGGATGGCCTAATCTTTTACCGTTCTGTAGGTGTTTTCCCCACCGGGTTTTTCGCATTAGCGGGGCTAGAACATGCTTCGTTCTACGCACTGGTGGTTTATTCCAGTGGCTAGGTGTTGATCGGAGAAACTACACAAACATCAGATCAAAACAGCCGGCCATTGACGGCGACTGAATTGGACCTACCTATTAAACTGGTATCGAGCATTTTGTCACGATCGAGACTTGAACCTGCTCCGGCACTGCAGTAACTTTAGTTGATGCACTGAGGCACACAATCCGCAATCAGCGTGCTCAGCTGCTTGCGCCGTTAGTAATTCACCAATTTCCACCGCCTCTAGAATTTATCACTTCTTTTGAAAACCTGATGTACCGGTATCATCCTTCTACTCGTTCGCACAGTTGCGATTTAAGGACTCCTTACGGTTAGTGCTCAACCAAACATTAAGTTATAATTCAGATTTTGACAATATAACCATTCCGAAGAAGCATTGAACCGTGCAACCCGTGAGTCCGTCAGACCGTCCGTTTGTCGGTCAATCTGTGTCCAACGCTAGCGCCTCCGTAAACTGTACAGCCAATTTTTTCCAAAATTGATGTTCCCCGATCGATGTGAACTAGCTCGAGAGCTTGTAAGTTTGATATGGATATTTTGATTTTTAGGGTTAACAAAAACCTCTATTTTCAAACTTTTCTCAAAAATTGATAAAAAATTGTGAACTTTCTCCTCAAATAATATAAAGGACACTTAACGTCAATCCTACAGGCCTCATTTTCGTTAAAATTCCTGATTTTCAATTTTCAATTTTCTGGTGTCATCCTACCATTCCTACTATGAAGATGTAGATTTTTTACATTCTCGTATACGTACGTATATACGAAGTTATAAACGAAACATAGAAAAAGTTATGTAATGCTGCGGAAAATTAGTTTTGGCGCTCCCCGATAACGAGAAAGTGTTTTTTTCAATATGTCCGTCCATCTGTCTGTCCGTCCGTCTGTCCGTCCGTTTATCCGCCCATCTGTTATCATTACTACCGCCTAAACCACGCTTAGGTGTTTTTCAAACTTAAAAAATTGCTCTCCTGTCCCTTTGGATCAGGACAAAGCTTTGAGGTATTGAAAAATATTCTTTACATTTTGGAGGTATATTACATGAATCCCCTGGGACATTTTCAAAATTTTCTAATAAATGACTCCAAATGTTTCTTTAAATTTCTTGTAAGAATAGAGTAAAATTCACTTATAAAGGTGATACAGATTCTATTTTCGGTGTTAACTCTAAGTTTTCGAAAATTGAAAAGTTTGAATTTTTCGGCATCTCTCTCTTATACACAAAATAGAATTTAGAGGTTTTCCTTCAAATAACTTTTTTCTCTACCTTCAGTTGTTTTATTACTGCCATGGCCTGTCAGATGGTTAGGGCAGTAGCGCCGTCGCGATCTCGAACCAGATGACCGCGGGTTCGAATCCTGCCTCAGGCATGAGTGTACTTGTGTATATTAGCATGTGTGCTGTCCTTTCATTCCTCACCATAAGCATCATCTCATCGTCCTCCAGGGCAAACAATCTTGGGAGATAGAAGAAGACATACACTTAAATGCTGATCCCCCTCCAGCAAGGTACCTGCACCTCCGCGTGCAGGATGCACGCGGAGTCTAAGTTGGCCAATATGCAAAAAAATGTTAATTTACTTTTACTTTCATGTTTTTTTTAATTTTAGTAGAATTTACACATTAATGTGTGCAATTAGTGCAATATTAAAAATTACATACACAAGATTTTCTGAAAAACGGCTCCAATTTTTTCTTTAAACTTTTTTTAAGAATAGTGTGCGTTCTATCATATGAAATAACATAAACTTGTACTCTAAACGTAAACTCTATTGTATTTTTTCACTTACTCAAACCATATTTTCTAAAAAATGAGTGCAATTTTTTCTCCATACTTTTTCAACGGATAGAGCTAGTTGCACTGTTTAATATGACAGAGTTTATTTTGAGGTAATCTTTCGTCTTTTCAAATATTACACATATCTAT